GGTTTTGCACATAGGTTGTAATGCGTTTTTTGGCTTTTAAAGTCCCTTCCGCTGCGTTTTTCAGTGTTTTTATGAGTGATGGTCACTCGTTGGCCTGATACGTATATTGTGTCCAAATTTGGTGTCAATTCGTCCAGTGGTTTTTGAGTTAGGTTAATCCCACAAACATTACATTTTCCCCAAATAGACCTTGACATTTGGGAGTTGTAGTTGCTGGGATTTGTGCCAAGTTTGGTCCAGATCCATCATTGTTTGAGTCCACAGTGCTCTCTGGATGTAGGTGTACTACAACTCCCAAAGTCAACTCCCGCCAAACGCTTCTAGTGTTTTTTGTTGGTCATGGGAATCCTGTGTGCCATGTTTGGTTCAATTCCATCATTGGTGGAGTTCATAATGCTCTTTGATTGCAGGTGAACTGTAAATCCCAGCAACTACAACTTCCAAATGACAAAATCATTCTTTAGTGATGTTCACTCATTGGGTTGTTAGCCGTATTCTGTCCAAATTCAGTGTCAATTCCTCCAGTGGCTTTTTAGTTATGTTAATCCCACAAACGAACATTACATTTTTATTTATATAGATACTAGCTATACCCAGCCACGCGTTGCTGTGGCCCTCAGAAAAAGAGTATTTGCAGACATGAAGCAATCTGGGCTAGGGAACTCCTCCCACCAAAGGTTTCCTGCTGGCTAATAGGAGTCAGGCTGTTAAGGTGCAAGGTGGTATGGAAAATAAAGTAATGAGAAGCAGCCACGAAAGCTGCAAGGCTTTTCAGTTATATTCATGCTGGCCAAAACTCTCAAAAAAGCCTCTTTGAAACAGAGGCTGGATGGCCATCTGTTGGGGGTGCTTTGAATATGATTTTCCTGTTTCACAGAACGGGGTTGGCCTGGATGTCCCACCAGGTGTCTCCCAACTCTAGGACTCTCTGATTCTATATTCTTCTCTTCCACTCATCAGTTTCCCCCTTTCCCTTTGTTCTATCCCCACCTCTTCCCTTCCTTCCTTTCTCCTTCCTTCCTTCCTTCCTTCCTTCCTTCCTTCCCTCCTTCCTCTTTCTCTTCCTTTTCTTTCCTTCCCTTCCTTCCTTCTCTTCTCTTCCCTCCCTTTCTTCCTTTCTTCTCTCCTTTACATTTCTTTCCCCTCCATCCTCCGGGACAGTTTGTAAGGGTTTTTAAAGCGGTTTTTTGGGGGGGGGGGTGAAAGGGGGGGATGTGGGAGAGTTGCTGGTCTTCTCATGGTTCGCATCCTCCCTTCACCTCTGATCTTGGGGGAAGACTTGTCTGATAGCCACGTGGGCCTCATGGAGCTGCTGCGGTGGCTCTAGCTGCTGCTGGGGCTTGCCTCACCAAGCCCCCACCCCTCCGTTGGGCCAGGCCTTCTCCTTCCTTCCCTCTTTCCTTTCCTCAATCCCTCCCCTCCCAAAAGAAAAAGGACTCTGCCTTCCTGCATGAAAGGGACTCAATGGCGAGGCTTCTCTTCCCTCACAACGGTTGATGCTTCATTCTTCTCGCTTTTGCACATGCTCTGTAAGGCATTTTTCTTTTGGGGGAGTTTTAAGTTATTTCCCCTTCATTTTTTACGGGTTTTTTGTTTGAAAGAGATAGATCGGATTAGAATGTGTTTTGCTGCCAAATTTGGTGTCAATCCGTCCAGTGGTTTTTGAGTTCTGTTAATCCCACAAACCAACATTACATTTTTATTTATATAGATTTATATAGTGGGTGGGGTGTTTGGGTAGGTGGAATGATTGCTTTTCTGTATTATGTAGTTGTCTTTTTTCTATTTTGTACACTGCTTTAAGTCTTATATGTGGGGGAAAAGCTGGATAAAAGTAAATAAATAAATAATGGGGAACCCTATTGAATGGATGACTTCTAGTAGAAATATACTATAGATCTGTCATTACAGGACTTTGGAAATACCTAGAGAAGACGTTGGTAGGTCCTCCACTGCAACTCCAAGGACTTTTTTATTTCCTAAACTGGACACCCAAATAATCACAATTTCAGCCAGCGACTATATAGCTCCCAACTACAAAACACACAAAGTATATGCCCTAAATTACTTTTAGGGCAATTAACCCAACAGCCTTTCATCAGAATGTTGATTCTACATGTTTTAATTAACTCTGCACAAACACGCACCATACAAAATCACCATTTCGCAGTGTGCAGACAGAAGCCCATGTTTTAAGGGGGTGCAGATCCGAGCAATTCTTGTGTATTTTTTTATTGCCTCCCCAAAGTATAGCAACGCAAAGCCGGCACAAAACAGCAGTTTAATTGCAAACAACAAAGTCTCTCTGCACAGAATTGGACTGGTGTTGGGTTTCAACAACAACAACAACATTTTAGGTTTTTCTAAATCCTTGTGTGTTACTGTTTATATGTGTTTGTATTGTTTTTGCTTATTGTTTTTTGTTTTATTGACGTGTTGTCGGGCTTGGCCTCATGTAAGCCGCTCCGAGACCCCTTGGGGAGATGGTGGCGGGGTATAAATAAAGTTTTATTTATTATTATTATTATTATTTTATTACATCCATACACTGGTGTTGGGTTTCAGATATAGTTTAGTTCAAACTTTGGGGTCAGGCTCTGCTAGGGTTTTCCATGGATGCATCTACACTGTGGAATTAACACAGTTTGACGACACTTTAACTGCAACAGAAGCCTGGGAGTTGTAGTTTATTGAGCACTGGCTCTCTGGCTGACCTTATAAAACCTTACTTACTTAGGTGATCCCTCGTTGGACGAGTAAGATGGTCTTCCTTGATGACTATTTTTGTGGGTTTGTAGGTGGCTGTGGAGCCCTATTCTTATAAAACCACGCCTCCCAGGATTCCATAACATTGAACCATGGCCGTTAAAGTGATGTCAAGCTGCATTAATTCTACAATGTAGACGCACCTCAAGTCCAGGCTTCTTAAGCGGATGATGGTCCTAAGCATAATCCTCTAAATTGAGTCTCTGCACTGTTATGGTCTTAGGTCTGCAGATCTACAAATCCCTTAATATCCAAAGCATTCGCATGAACCTGGCCAGAGACCAGCCATGTGTCAATGGGAAGTTTTGGGTTGTCTATCCTCCTTGTTGTTGTATTTTCCCCAAAATAAGACCGGTCTTACTTTTTGCTCCATTAGGGTTTATTGTCCCGCCTCATAGGAAACCTGCTACAAAACAGGAGCTTCTTTGTTGAGTTCCAGGACCAGAGAAGCAGATGGCGGAAACAGAAGAACGGCCTGCTTCAGGGGAGTGTGCTTGCTCCATCAATGTTCAACATCTACACAAATGACCAGCCACTGCCAGAAGGGACAGAGAGCTTCATCTATGCTGATGACGGTGCCATCACTGCTCAAGCAGGGAGCTTTGAGATGGTTGAACAGAAGCTCTCCGAAGCTCTAGGTGCTCTTACTGCCTATTATTAGCATAGTACAATATAATATTAAGCAACTTTGGCAAAGTCAAAGAAGCCATTACTAGTGCTTCAATGAATACCCAGGCTACTTGCCACGCGCCATAAGAAGGACAAAGTTGAGTGGGAAACTGGTAACACAGCATTCTGGGAAATGTAGTTTGGGAAGGCAAGGCCCCCTGTGGCAGAGAATGTAAAAGGCCCTGCCCTGGACTACATTTCCCAGAATGCAGTGCTCACCATCTTTTGTGCTAGTTATTGGCAGTAATAATATGTATGAATGTATATTGTATGTATATATATCCTGCAATCCGCTCTGAGTCCCCTTTGAGGTGAGAACGGCAGCATATAAATGTCATAAATAAATAAATCTATATAAATAAAAATGTAATGTTCATTTGTGGGATTAACAGAACTCAAAAACCACTGGACGAATTGACATTTGGACACAAGACATCTAACAACCCCAATGCTATGGGAATCCTGGGACTTGTAGTTTTGCAAGGGCTTTAGCCCCAATGCTATGGGAATCCTGGGAGTTGTAGCTTTGCAAAAGGCTTTAGCCCCAATGCTATGGGAATCCCGGGGGTTGCAGTTTTGCAAGGGATTTAGTCCCAATGCTATAGGAAACGTGGGAGTTGTAGTTTTGCAAGGGCTTTAGCCCCAATGCTATGGGAATCCTGGGAGTTGTAGTTTTGCAAGGCTTTAGCCCCAATGGTATGGGAACCCTGGGAGTTGTAGTTTTGCAAGGGCTTTAGCCCCAATGATATGGGAATCCTGAGAGTTGTGATTTTGCAAGGGCTTTAACCCCAATGCTATGGGAATCCTGGGAGTTGTGGTTTTGCAAGGGCTTTAGCCCCAATGCTATGGGAATCCTGGGTGTTGTAGTTTTGCAAGGGCTTTAGTCCCAATGCAAACGTGGGAGTTGTAGTTTTGCAAGGGTTTTAGCCCCAATGCTATGGGAATCCTGGGAGTTGTAATTTAGCAAGGGCTTTAGCCCCAATACTATGGGAATCCTGAGGGTTGTAGCTTTGCAAAGGCTTTAACCCCAATACTATGGGAATCCTGGGGGTTGTAGTTTTGCAAGGGCTTTAGCCCCAATGCTATGGGAATCCTGGGAGTTGTAGTTTTGCAAGCCTCTCCACCAAACTATAAATCCCTGCAAAGGGGAAGAAGTCATTCCATTCATTCTACAGAGAAAATAAAGCAAAAGGCTGTTGTGTTTCTTGCAAACACGGAAGTGAGGCCTTCACACGAGCAATAACGACACGCATGTCAACAAGAGGGATAAAGGGGGGGGGAGGCTTTGAATGCAAAAGGTTGGGACAAAAGGGAGGCATTCCCACGAGCAACGACACGCGTGCAAAGCTTGCAAAGGCGATAATTGCAAGGAGAGGGACAAAAGCAAGGCATTCCCACGTTCAAAGGCACTTAGGCCGAAGGAAAAAGGGGAGGGATGCAAAGCAAGAGGAGGAAAAAAAGGGGAAACAAAGGCAGGGGAAGGGAAAGAGCCTTGGAAAGGGGGGAATGGGGAAAAGCAGGCCCCAAAAGGGAGCCCTAGAAGCCTTTTGGGGGAAAATACTCACCCGGATTGCAGGCCTTGCTTTGCAATGCTTCCTCGCCTCGCCTCCCCGGGAAAATAGAGAGCCCAGCGAGGGCGGGGCCACGTTGCCAGCGCCACGGCGTTCCCATTGGCCGGCGGGAGTGACGGGCGCCAGGCATCAGCCAATAGGAGGCCGATGTTGCTTCTCCCTCCTCCTGGAGCTCCCACCTTCCCCTTTGCATGCCACTTTGGGTTCATCCAGATGCAGTTTGACCCCAATTGAACCACCCTGGCTGGTTCTATGACCCAATTTGAATACTGGTGGAGTTTGGGGGAAATAGACCTTGACATTTGGGAGTTGTAGTTGCTGGGATTGTAATTCAACTACAATCTAGTTCACCTACAATCTAAGAGTATGCTGAACTCCACCAAACTTGGCATGAATACTCAATATGCCCAAACAGTGGTGGAGTTTGGGGAAAATAGACCTTGACATTTGGGAGTTGTAGTTGCTGGGATTTATAGTTCACCTACAATCCAAGAACATTCTGAACTCCACCAATGATGGAATTGAACCAAACCGTGGCACACAGGACTCCCATGACCAACAGAAAATACTGGAATGGTTTGGTGGGCATTGACCTTGAGTTTGGGAGTTGTAGTTCAACTACATTCAGAAAGCACTGTGCACTCAAACAATGACGGATCTGGACCAAACTTGGCGTGAATACTTAATATGCCCAAACAGTGGTGGAGTTTGGGGAAAATAGACCTTGACATTAGGGAGTTGTAGTTGCTGGGATTTATAGTTCACCTACAATCCAAGAACATTCTGAACCCCACCAATGATGGAATTGAACAAAACTTGGCACACAGGACTCCCATGACCAACAGAAAATACTGGAAGGGTTTGGTGGGCATTGACTTTGAGTTTGGGAGTTGTAGTTCAACTACATTCAGAAAGCACTGTGCACTCAAACAATGACGGATCTGGACCGAACTTGGCGTGAATACTAATATGAACAGTGGTGGAGTTTGGGGAAAATAGAATCTTGACATTTGGGAGTTGTAGTTGCTGGGATTTATAGTTCACCTACAATCAAAGAACGTTCTGAACCCCACCAATGATGGAATTGAAACAAACTTGGCACACATTTCTCCCATGACCAACAGAAAAAAAAACTGTACGGCTTTGGTGGACATTGTCCTTGGAGTTTTGGAGTTGTAGTTCACCTACATCCACAGAGCTTTGTGGAGTCAAACAATGGTGGACCTGGACCAAATTTGGCATGAATTCTCAATATGTCCAAATGTGAACACTGGTGGAGTTTGGGGGAAATAAACCTTGATATTCGGGAGTTTTAGTTGCTAGGATTTATAGTTCATCTACCATCAAAGAGCATTCTGAACTCCACCAATTGATGGAATTGAACCAAACCTGGCACATAGAACTCCCATGACCAACAGAAAATGCTGGAAGGGTTAGGTGGACATTGTCCTTGAGTTTTGGAGTTGTAGTTCACCTACATCCACAGAGCTTTGTGGAGTCAAACAATGGTGGACCTGGACGAAATCTGGCATGAATACTCAATATGTCCAAATGTGAACACTGGTGGAGTTTGGGGGAAATAAACCTTGATATTCTGGAGTTTTAGTTGCTGGGATTTATAGTTTACCTACAATCAAAGAGCATTCTGAACTCCAGCAACGATGGAATTGAACCAAACCTGGCACACAGAACTCCCATGACCAACAGAAAATGCTGGAAGGGTTAGGTGGGCATTAACCTTGAGTTTTGGAGTTGTAGTTCACCTACATCCAGAGAGAACTGTGGACTCAAACAATGATGGATCTATCAAACTTGGCATGAATACTCAATATGCCCAAATGTGAACACTGGTGAAGTTTGAGGAAAATAGACCTTGACATTTGGGAGTTGTAGTTGCTGGGATTTATAGTTCACCTACAATCAAAGAGTATTCTGAACTCCACCAACAATAGAATTGGGCCAAACTTCACACATATTCACAGAATGTCTTAAATCTACCCTAGTTGATAGACTCTGTAAGCTACTTCTATTTCTATCATTTTTATACTTATGTATGCATGATAAAAAATAAAAAGTATATAATCAGTTTTATACTTGTTTATTTATGCAATGCTCTTGACAGGAAATAAATAATTAAATGGGCCAACAGCAGGTAGGCTGTTAGGAATTGTGGGAGCTGAAGTCCAAAAGGGAGGGCCCAAGTTGGCCCATTTCACAGTGTTTGTCCTGCAATTCCATAGCAATTGACTGGAAGCTTAAGCACAAAAAGTCCTTTCTCGGTTATTAAACCAAATCTGTATGTAATCCGCTTTCCCAGGCTGCATTTATTATATCCTAGCTTGGGTACCCGGCGATGCCCAGGCCATTTGAAAAATGCCTAGTTTGTTTTTGGATGTTAGGGAATATATATATATATATATTTCATTTTAGGCAATCCCTCGTTGTCCGAGTAGGATAATCTTCCAGGGTGGGTCCGTAGGTGGCTGTGGAGCCCTATTCTTGTTCTGCATCTTCTTCCGCAGTGAGGGCATTGGTTTCCAGGTGGAAGGCGGTCCTGGTCGGGGTTGGCTTGACGCGCCTTCCTCTTGGCACGTTTCTCTCTTTCACTCTCCATTCGTGCCTCTTCAAATTCTGCAGCACTGCTGGTCACAGCTGACCTCCAGCTGGAGTGCGCACAGTCCAAGGCTTCCCAGTTCTCAGTGTCTATGCCAGAGTTTTTAAGGTTGGCTTTGAGCAGATCTTTCAATCTCTTTTCTTGCCCGCCAGCGTTCCGTTTTCCATTCTTGAGTTCAGAGTAGAGCAACTGCTTTGGGAGACAGTGGTCGGGCATCCGGACAACATGGCCAGTCCAGCGGAGTTGATGACTGAGGATCATCGCTTCACCTACAATCAAAGAATATTTTGGTCTTTGCTTCTTCCAGCATGTTGACATTTTTCCGCCTGTCTTCCCAAGAGATTTGCAGGATTTTCCGGAGGCAGCACTGATGGAATCATTCCAGGAGTTGCATGTGATATCTATAGACTGTCCACGTTTCGCAGGCATATAGCAGGGTTGGGAGGACAATCGCTTTATAAACAAGCACCTTGGTCTCCCTACAGATGTCCCGGTCCTCAAACACTTTCTGTTTCATTTGGAAAAATGCTGCACTCGCAGAGTTCAGGCGGTATTGCATTTCAGTGTCAATGTTGGCTTTTGTGGAGAGGTGGCTGCCAAGGGAGAAGAAATGGTCAACATTTTCTAACATTACACCATTAAGCTGTATTTCTGGCAATGGAGAAGGATCACCCGGTGACTGCTGGAAGAGCACTTTGGTTTTCTCGATGTTCAATGACAGGCCGAGCTTCTCGTATGCTTCTGCGAAGGTGTTTAGAGTGGCTAGTAGGTCTTCTTCTGAATGTGCACAGGTGATGTTAGGGAATATCACTTGGGTTATTTGTCACACTATATATTAGGGAAAAACCAGCCTTTGTTTTTGTTTTTTATGACTGCTCCCCTTTCAAAATGCATAAGGAGTTGGTGAACTACAATTCACAAAATAGTGGGTCAATCCTACCCAAACCCCTCTATTGGGTCTGTGTACCAAGTTTGGTCCAGATCTGTCGTCGGCTGAGTTCAGTGCTCTCTAGATAAAGGTGAACTGCAACTCCCTGAATTCAAGATCAATCTCACACACCCCAGCTCCTCCAGTATCTTCAGCTGGCCATGGAGGTTCTCTGTTCCAAGTTTGATCCCGGTCCATTGTCGGTAGGGTCACAGCTCTGGATGTGAATGAACTACAAATCTCCAAAATCAATGTCAATGCAACTCAATCCCCTCCAGTATGTTCAGTTGATCATGGGGGCAGAGGGGCCGGGGACAGTCCGTGTTCAAAGTTTGCTCCAGGTCCATCATTGGTGGGGGTCACAGGGGTCTGTGGAAGCAGGTGAAGGCACTGCAAATCCCATCGCCTTTCGTCCATCCTTCCCCAAACCTCACCAGGACATAAAATGGGTTGGGTGTGGGTTGGTCTGTGTCCCAAGTTTGACCCAGATCCATGGGCTGATGGGTTTAGCAGAAGTCTCCGGGTGAAGATAAATGTACTGCAAATCTCATTGTCCATCCTCCCCCAAGTCTCGCCAAGATGTAAAGTGGGTCACAAGGAGAGGGGGTCAGTGACCCACCTGTGGACCAGGTGCCAACCAATCTTGGCTTGTATCCTAGCCAGCCTCTTTTCTGGCCAATCAGGGGAGGGGGCAGGAAGTCTGAAAGGTATATCTTACACCTTTCTGATAAAGGTATATGATATATTATATTTTTCTGTATGTTTATACTTATACATTTTGAAGGAAAAGTACTGTGCGTGCATCCCTTTTGGCCAAATTGAAATACATCTTTGTGGCTTATCTTCAACTTGGTGAGTTGGTTTCTCTATCTGGTGTTTAGCATATGGCTTCCCAGGCACAGACCCTCTTTAACTGTGGTCCTATCTTTACAATTGACTACAAAACAACCATCTTTCCTCAAGCTGGTGCCCTTTCCCATTTGGACTACAACAACCATCACCCTTTTCCATGGTCTAACCAGGGTAAAAGCAGGCAATGAGGCATTGTTCCATGGTATGGAATCAGTTTTTGTTGCCATCGCAGCCGTGGTAAATGAAACTTTCGCAGGTTTTGCTAGTATGGTTGTAATGCTATTGGAGCTTGTGGCTATTGCAGCCACCTGGGTCCACAGGTGGTTTGGTTCAGGTCCGTCATTCGTGGGGGTCGCAGTAGTCTGTGTGTGCAAGTTGGAGCAGATGTGGTTGAAGGTACTGCAAATACCATCATCCGTGGTCTATCTTCCCCAAACCTCACCAGGACATAAAGTTGGTCATGGGGAGTCTGTGTACCAAGTTTGCTTCAGGTCCATCATTTGTAGGGGTTGCAGTAGTCTGTGCAGATTGGAGCAGATGTGGTTGAAGGTACTGCAAATACCATCATCCGTAGTCTATCCTCCCCCAAACCTCACATGAAGTTGGTCGTGGGGTGTGTGTGTGCCAAGTTTGGTTCAGGTTCATCATTTGTGAGGGTTGCAGTGGTCTATGGCAT